CATAGTTTTGCCTTATAGACTCAAGCCTTATATTTCTTGGTTTACCCACCTTTTCTTCCTTTTATCTTTCATTTCAGTAATTTGGTTTAGTTCTAGACCAATTTTCTTTTCATTGTTCCACTTCTTCCTGTGATATCCTCACGTTGCATCTCGATTAATTTAATGATTGTTCTCTCTATTATACGCTTTGGTACAGGTGATAGTACTAGTTCGAAGTATCGAAACAGCTTTATGCACTCCACCTTTTTTATTTGTGCTTATTAAGTTATATTCTGCATTAATTGTTTCGGCTTAACTGTAACAATTACTTCCTGGACTTGACAGGATAAGTTATAAGTTACAATTATAGAAAAAAAGTTCAGTTTTTTTGCAAAATCAGAAATGCAGATATCTGAGAGCTTGTTTTATATTTTAATTAACATTGAAATGTATTTTTATAATAAATTATGTGTATAATGTCTTCGATAACTGTCAAAGAGTGATTTTTACGAATAAATTGAAACAATTGTAGCAAAATGTGCGCCGACCGGACTGTGTAGGGGTCAAAGAACTGGCCTGCATCATAAAGGTTCTAGGTTCGAATCCTGGACGAGGCATGGATGTTCTTTCTTTCTCTGCACTATCTGTCCTCACTGTGGGAGCAACGTTGACGGTGACCCTGGAAGAGTGGTCAAGAAATCTGCCCTAATACGCCTGAATTGACGAAATGTCTTCCTAAGTGGACATTGGAAAGAAAAAGAAATTTAAAAAATGCGCTTTTTACACGTTAATCAATAATTTTAAATCTCATACCTAAATTAATTTCTGCGTTTTTTTTATCTTATACTAAATCGTCTCGTTGCATATATTTTAGCACTTTATATAAACACATTTGAAACCCTTTGCATGGTGCGTACTCTATTATATACCATATAATTATCACTGTCATTTAATGTTGTCATAGTGTTAAGTTGTCACCAAGCTTAGCATCCTGTTAGATATTCAGAATGAGCCACTCGAGCTGGTTGTAATAATTTTGAATGTTATTATGTCTTCCCATAACTTGAGTGATTCATGCATGTTTAAATTCATTACAAATGCTTGTCTGGATAAACCCATGTATTGTTCTATATTATTGACATATGTAAGTGTATGCCTACTATTTAATTAATTTGAATTACATTTAAATCTTAATTCAGCCTATATGCATTAAATTATAATTAGTAAAATGTTGCATTTTAGAATAAGTTTTATAAGTGTGATATTGTTAATTAAACTCAGATACAGATTATTGTTTCGTAACCACTATTTTTAATTATATTACACAATTAGAATCCACTATTACACAATTAGAATCCTTTTTAAAAATAAAAACGAACGCGAAAGTGTTTACATTAGAAGACAAAAAGTATTAGGAAAAAAAGAACGTCATCAAAATATGACTTGCTCTGGAGGAAGCAGGGATTAAAAACAACGAAACCAGTTTTACCTCAGACATTTAAAGATATTTCTGACAGTAATTTTTCATTTCTTCTCAATTTTCCCCGACAATCAAACTGGTTTTGATATTTTTCATTTCACTATTCTCAATAGTATTTCGTTATGTTTTGATAAGTATTTTTTTTCCTCGCACCTATAATAATTTGAAACCCTTAGTGTATATGGTTTTTATTTTATTCCTTGCAATTTCCGGCGAAGCGTTTTCTGTCCGGTAGCACTTCCAAAAATATTATACACCACTACAAATTTAACACTATTTACTTCTAAACATCCACCGTTGTCAAACAACTATTATTCTTCAAATATAGAGCTTAAGTATAACTCGTTAAGTAGAATACACGATCTACGTTCGCAGTTATTAATGTACAGCTTGACTAATGATAAAATGTTTGGAAGTATAGTGATTGCAAAATTCCTTATACATATTCGACCAGCATGAGCTCTTTAGTATGCACATGCTTAATTAAAATGAACTAATCCAGACATAGATTAACAATATTGTATAGTGATAGCAAAATTCCTTATGTATATTGTATAGTGATTGCAAAATTCCTTATACATATTCGACCAGCATGAGTTCTTTAGTATGCACATGCTATATGGTGNATCAAAATATGACTTGCTCTGGAGGAAGGAGGGATTAAAAACAACGAAACAAGTTTTACCTCAGACATTTAAAGATATTTCTGACAGTAATTTTTCATTTCTTCTCAATTTTCCCCGACAATCAAACTGGTTTTGATATTTTTCATTTCACTATTCTCAATAGTATTTCGTTATGTTTTGATAAGTATTTTTTTTCCTCGCACCTATAATAATTTGAAACCCTTAGTGTATATGGTTTTTATTTTATTCCTTGCAATTTCCGGCGAAGCGTTTTCTGTCCGGTAACACTTCCAAAAATATTATGAACCACTACAAATTTAACACTATTTGCTTCTAAACATCCACCGTTGCTAAACAACTATTATTCTTCACTTAACATAGAGCTTAAGTATAACACTTTAAGTAGAATACACGATATACGGTCGTAGTTATTAATGTACAGCTTGACTAATGATAATATGTATGAAGCATAGTGATTGCAAAATTCTTTATACATATTCGACCAGTAAGAGCTCTTCAGTAAGCACATGCTTAATTAAAGTGAACTAATCCAGACACAGATTAACAATATTGTTTATTGATTGATATTGCTTATTATTGATTAACAAAGTTGTTTTGTATTTGAATTACGTATCTAACATGATAAAAAATTAAATTTATTGAAAAGAATTAAGAATTAACTTATTTTTATTGGGTTATAGATGAAGACTAATAGCATTTTTTTTTTCAAAATGGTATTAATGATATTTGAAATGTAATGGAATGTTTTAAACTTGAAATATAATGAGATTTAATTTTTTTGAAGGACATTTCGAAAATAGTTTACTTTATAATTCAATAGAAATATTTTTTTCCTTTATTAAGTTACTTAAAAGCGTTAAAATATTTTTAAAAATATTAAAATAATTCGTTTAAAATATTGCAATAGTTGCCTTAAAATTTTTTAATTGTTTTTTTTAAATTAACTTTTTGATGTATATATTTATTTGAAATAAATATTTTGATTTCTACAATACTTATTTTGAAATATTAGAATGATTCTTATATTTGAATGATTAGCTTGAAAATGCTCCTTATTGAAATATTTTTTTTCAAAAAATACATATTATTTAATAATTAAGTTATTGCAACAAAACATATTTATTAAATCATCATGTATTAAAGCAAGATTCATAGAAAACTTCGTATCTATAGTTGTCGGAATGAAATTTATCCTAGAAAATCTTCACTGATGGTCAATGAACTAAGAGAAAAATATATGATAAGGTAAACAGAAATTAAGAAAAGAAAAAAATAAATAGTGATTTAAAATCATGTAACTACTTAAAGATATTTCTTATTAAAATAGGGCGAATTCTATTGCCCGTTTTATCGTTGAATAAACAGCGATTCGTTTAATGAGTAGCTTCGAATTTCCTAGAAATGTTGCATTTTAAAATTTTAAGAAACTAAAATGATAGGCTTTGCCAAAGTGAAAGCTTTTATAAAATCTGAAATTTAAAACCATTTAATTAGATTTAGGGTTAGACTTCGCCATTTTAAAATGAAGATATTTCCTATATAATAGCATTTTAGGAATTGCTTTTTAAGAAAATACATATGAGGAAAATATGAATTACTTTAAAAGAATTTTATGCATGCATTGCTTAAAAAATATTTTAATTAAGTTTGAATATTTTTTATCGTCGAAACAATTATATTAAGTTTCATTTTTAATTTTCCGTTGATTTTAAATTTTTATATTTTAGTGCAGAACTTTAGTTTAAAAATTGATAATTTAATTTCTAATAAAAGGAAAGTGCTGGATAAAATTAACACGATTTTATTCCATTCAATATACTCTCATGTAGGTGCATATCAATTTCATTTTGCATTGATAGCATGCTTTTGCTATTCAGTCGCTGAACTATAACTTACAAACCAATCGATTTATTTCCAAATTTTTGATGTAATACTTCAATAATTTATTTTGGTGAGTGAAACAAAATTATTCAATTGTTTCAAGGAAATCTAAAAGTGTATTTAAGATAAAAAAAATACATTAACGATTTATTCATATAAGTAAATTCATCAATTCAACTCGATAAATTTCGAGACGTTTTAAATTAAAAATAGGACATTTGAAACAGAAATGAATGTAAAATATTTTCATCAAACAACAGTCTTAAATTATTCAACCAAGTCTTGAGGCCCATGCCAATACTTCAAATTATATCAGAACAAGAATAAATAAATAAGAACGAAAAATCAGATATTTATCATTCATATTCCTATCTTTGGGCTAAATATTCGCTTTTATAAGATCACACGTATTCGTAATGCTGAGAAAAATCGAAAATGAAGTCAAAACACGAAGAAATAAACCTTTTCCTGATAATAAAAAAGAGAAAAAAAGTTATTCGAAGTAGTCGATACTAATAAAAGAACTTCCGTGAACGATATTATCGAATGAAGGAGATTGAAAGGAGAAAAGCGAAGTAGTGACGTCAGCCGGAGCGCCCCCTGTTCCCACAGAACGGACCGTAAAGTAGAGATCGGGGGGCGGCGTCATTTGCAAACTGGGAGTCCGATCTGTAAAGGGATCGCGCTCCTTCGTCCGCCAAGACGGACCGCCACGACGGAAACAACAACAAAACTTGTCGCGTTGCTCGTTCCTTCCACGCGTGTACTTCCGCGCGCTGGCGGAGGTTCCGAGACAAAATTTCGCGGATACAGTTCGCCGAGAAATGGGGTGTGACCCCCGTGCTGAAGCCGCGGAATGTAGAGACCGGCTCAAAGGCGACCACCCCTCGCAGGAGGTCGTCCGGCAGCAGCAACAAGGAACGCAGCGTCCCCACATCGGGGAACGGAAGCGTTCTTGTACTTCCTACTTCCGATGGTGGTTCTCATATTATTTCTTTTCTTCCTGATTCCAGGTCGCTTCCGAAACTGGGCAGCGAGGACCTGGGCGGACCAGATGGAATTGCCAATCGTCAACAACAGCAGCAACAACAGACGACCACAGGCTCGCCCTCCCCTGGCAACTTCGAACCCATTCCTCATGATCACGACTTCTGTGAACGAGTCGTCATCAACGTCTCTGGATTGAGGTTCGAGACCCAGCTGCGGACGCTCAACCAGTTCCCCGATAGCTTGCTTGGCGATCCAACGAGGAGGATACGTTACTTCGACCCCTTGCGCAACGAATACTTCTTCGACCGCAACCGACCAAGCTTCGACGCTATTCTCTACTATTATCAAAGTGGAGGACGGCTTCGGAGACCAGTCAACGTCCCTCTGGATGTATTTGCAGAGGAGATCAAGTTCTATGAACTTGGTGAAGTGACGTTCAATAAGTTCCGCGAGGATGAAGGTTTCATCAAGGAAGATGAGAAACCTCTGCCGAAGCAGGAGCTACAGAAAAAGATGTGGCTCCTCTTCGAGTATCCAGAAAGTTCCCAAGCTGCACGTGTGATCGCTATTATATCCGTTGTAGTTATTTTACTGTCCATATTTATCTTCTGCCTGGAGACGCTGCCCGAGTTCAAGCACTACAAACTTTTCAATACGACCAATAACATGACTCGAGTCGTCGAAGACGAAGTACCCAAAACGACAGATGCCTTCTTTATCATCGAGACGGCTTGTATTGTATGGTTCACCTTTGAATTGCTGGTACGATTCCTAGCGTGTCCCAACAAAATAGCATTTTTCAAAGATGTGATGAACAGTATAGACTTGGTCGCTATCATTCCTTATTTCATAACTTTGGCGACAGTTGTGGCCGAGGCTAAAGCTCAAGAACTGCCCATAATCTCCGTGAACGAGAGGGCTAGTAATAATCAGGCAATGTCGCTTGCCATCCTTCGAGTTATCCGTCTTGTACGGGTGTTCAGAATTTTCAAGCTGTCCAGACACTCGAAGGGCCTGCAGATTCTCGGTCGGACTCTGAAGGCCAGTATGCGAGAGCTGGGCTTGCTCATCTTTTTCCTTTTCATAGGAGTGATTCTGTTCTCGAGTGCCGTATATTATGCGGAAGCGGATTCAGAACGTTCTTACTTCAAAAGCATTCCAGACGCCTTTTGGTGGGCAGTGGTCACAATGACCACAGTAGGATACGGTGATATGCGTCCAGTGGGCGTCTGGGGCAAAATAGTAGGCTCCCTCTGTGCCATTGCTGGTGTCCTCACAATTGCGCTCCCCGTGCCAGTTATAGTCTCCAATTTCAATTACTTCTACCATCGCGAGACGGACCAAGAGGAGATGCAGTCACAGAACTTCAATCATGTTACTAGTTGTCCCTATTTACCTGGCACGGTAGGGACGAAACTTAAGCGTGACTCGCTTAGTGAATCGACGTCAGACATTATGGAACTGGAAGAAGGAGGTGGTGACAACGCTGTCACTCCTGGTACGCCTTCTTCAGGATTTAAACGATCTAATCCCGGCCACACAAATAACAATCATACCTCGTCCGTCTCTGTGGCCGTGGAAACAGATGTATGATTATAAATTCATTCCGTCTACATAATGCTACGTATTTCTGTTCCAATTTGGATTTCATTTGCAAAACGTATCCTTTTTTCTTCTCTTCTGTGAGAACATGATAATGTTATTTTATTTCGCAGCTTTACCTGGATAGTAAGGTAAGTCATACTTTTCAATATTATTTTTCAAATATTTATTTATTGTTAACATACAATCAAAATGTCTTATATCACTTTGGAATCTGTACACTTATTTAGCAAAAAATGTGGGTATTGCTGAAATGCATAATGCTGTTGTTCATATTTTTTAACGAACTACTTTAAGGTAATAATATGGCTGAGTTTCATAAATGTAAATTTAAAGTTTTAAATTCTTCATGATAGTATAAACAGACCAAGTGTTACTTTAAAAACGCGAAAATAGTACTGCCATAACGGAATCAAGATTAAAATATTGTAATGTAGCTTATTTAAAGCTATGTTTATAATGATAAAATCCAACATTTTTAAAAGGAGTATCCCAATTTGGCTCTGAAAGAACTAAAAAATTTTATTTAATTTAGAGAAAAAAAATTTCCATGAGCATAAATTGAAAAATCCCCCTCCTATTTCTAAAATAAATTTAACTATTATCCAAAGAGGGGCTAAAGTGAAAAAAAATTTATAATAGAGTGATTTTTCGGAATTTTTTTAAAAAAAATATTTCAATTCATATTCCATTTCATACAACGGTTATATTACGATGCTACAGTAATGCTTAATTTCTACTAATTTATAGTGTTACGAATAACGCTATTGAAAACTTTATTTAGTTGACTTATAATTTCATTAGATTGAAACCTTCAAAGATATTTAATAAATTTAATACAATAAAATAAACATAATTTATATATAATAAAATAAGCACTATTTATGAGTATTTATTATGAAACAATAGTTAGATATAAATACAGATAAAAATAATGCTTAATTCTTCCGAAGTACTGTAATGAGTTTTTAAATGCCATTTATTTTATTAATAATTTTGCTCCTAGAAAAGTTCTAAAAAATTTTTTTTGAATGTCATAAACATCTTTTTATATTATGTATTTTTATTAAGTCTTTATTGTATAATTGCAATGAAAGGTACTTTGCATATTTATTTACTAAGAAATGTATTCCTAGTTAAAATGCATAATGCTGTAGTCCATATTTTTTAATGAACTTACTTTAAGGTATGTGAAATAATATGACACAGAATTTTACAAATGTAATCTTAGAGTGTAAAATACTTCATAATAGTAAAAAAAGACTAAGTGCTATTCTGAAAAATGTAAAAATAATACTGCCATACAGGAGCCAATAATAAAATATTGTAATGTAGTTTAACTAAGGTTAAGTTTATAATAACAAAATACATTTTTAAAAGTTATAACAAAATACAATATTTTCAAAATTTGACTTTAAAAGAACTGCGAATTTTCATTTCATTCAGAGAAAATATTTTCCTGTGAGCATAAATTGAAACATTTCCCCTATTTCTAAAATAAATTTTACCTATTATCCATAAAAGGGCTAAATTTAAAAAAAAATTATAAAAGTGTTTTGTCATATTTTTAAAAAAATAATAATCTTTCAATTCACATTCCATTTAATATAACGGTTATATTAAGAAGCTAGCAGTAATGCCTAATTTCTACAAATTTATAGAGTTACGAATAACGCTAGTGAAGACTTTATTTAGTTGACTTATAATTTCATTTGATTGAAAACTTTAAAGATATTTAATAAAATAAACATATTTTATAAGCATTTATCATGAAACAATAGTGATATTTAAATGCTGATAATAATAATGCTTAATTGTTGCAAAGTACTGTAATGAGTTTTTAAATTTCATTTATTTGATTAAAAATTTTGTTCTAAAAAAGTTTTAAAACTTTTTTGGAATTTCATATATAGCTTTTTATATGCTGTATTTTTATGAAGTATTTATTGTATAATTGCAATAAAAGGGAACAAAGGAATCAATTGGTGGTAATATTTCATTCGCACACAATCATCATTTTAACAAAGTGCTTAATTATTTTTTTGGAGATTAATGCGAAGAAGTAATTATAAATACTTCCATAAAAAAATGTATGTAAATTGGTTTCATATATAGTGAACCATACGTAATCATATCTTATAAATTTTAATAACTAGGAGAGAATAATAATTCATTGTTTTTTCTATATTAGAATATATGATTATATTAGAATATATGATTATATTAGAATATATGATTATATTAGAATATATGACGAATTACAGTGAGACAAAAAAATAATAATAACTTTCGGTGCGCTCAATGGGTCGAAGCGCCTGTAATTACTCAATTAGCGCTATCTTATATTAATTAACAAAATCAAAAATAAAATCTTTATATTTTTTTGGAATGTACTCTTTTTTATGATATCTTTGAAATTATTGTACTTATGTAGGAAATCCTTTATCCCAAAAAGTAATTTCCCCTAAAAAATATTTTTTACATGGCTTATTCACTTTTATTATTCGATTTTGTAAACATGGAAAGCTTATTGCAAGATAAACACATTTTTGCAACTTCACTTGTATTACATCTTTTTTTAAATCCAACAAAACATCCAAAATTTTAGTAAAATAAGTCAAATAGTTTCAGAAACATTAAGAGGGAAAAAATATTAGTTTCTAAATTTCCAAACTTTTTAACCAATTTTGATCTAATATCGGAACTAATAATTAAATCACTATTTATTAAATCATTATTTAAAAAGATTTAAAAATTTATGTTCTTCTCAAAACAAAAGTTTTTCCATAATTATCAAATTAAATTATGAAAAAATAATAAACTCAAATTACATAAAAAATACACATTATATTAAAATATATAAATTATATATTAATTTTCATATAATAAACATAATATAAAAATAACAAATTCATGAATACGCATGCACGAAAATAATGAATGCGCTTTTTTGAATGTAATTACCCTTGAGTAAGGGAGTCTTATAAATAGACGGCATATTTTTTTTTAATTTGAATAATTAGATTTAAAAATATGACGAAAACGCTGAAGTTAAAAATAACAAGATTAAGACCAAAGTTTGTACGGATAAAGTTTGTACAGATTTTCAAAGGATGCTTCTCATACTTTGAGGGTTAAAAACTGAATCCAATCTTTTTTTAAAAAAAGCATGCTTATTTAAGATTAATTCTTTAGTAATATGTAAGATTTAAAAAATTACAGAATTTTAAACAATTAAACTCTATAAAAGCACCGATTATTCAATATAAACTAAATATGCAATACCGAAAGTTTATCCAAACTCAAGAACTTGGCATAGTTTAAATATTTAGTATATTTTTTATTAAATATGCATTTAAAATAAATATGCATCATAGGTACAGAAAAATATTTATAAATGCATTTTTTCATATATTTAGTGCTAATATTTATTTCAGATGTATTTTATTTATTTCAGATGTATTTATTCTATGAAATGCGGATAAAATAAAATAAAATTATATCTCCCGAAGCATTTGCGTCTAAAATAACAATTGCTTGTGAAGCTGTTTATATTTATGGGAAGTGCTTCTCCCATAAAATTAGTTTGTTGAAAAGATCAATAATTAATCAATAAAGTCTAATTTATTGCGGCAGTTTATATAACAGAACGAAATTTGATTAGTTCGTGAAGGAATTGTGTAACCTAAATACATTTTAAATGAAAAATCAAAACAAATGTTATTATTCCGGTATTTTTTTTTCATTGAAATAATCAATATAAAGAAATGTTTAAATCGTCGGTAAGTGTCCTCACAATTGCGCTCCCCGTGCCAGTTATAGTCTCCAATTTCAATTACTTCTACCATCGCGAGACGGACCAAGAGGAGATGCAGTCACAGAACTTCAATCATGTTACTAGTTGTCCCTATTTACCTGGCACGGTAGGGACGAAACTTAAGCGTGACTCGCTTAGTGAATCGACGNAGAATGGATCAATTTATTTCTATTTTTAAAGATTTTAAAAAAGGTTTTATATGATGTTATTTTAATGATGACACTGGTTTGAATATCTATGTATATTTAATAAAACATTTCTATTTCTATTAATTTTTGATATAGTGTTTAGTTTCTTAGAATAGTCTTCTATATTGTAAAATTATATAATTGCATTATTATATTATTATATAATATTAACCGCGAACTACTTAGAATCAGTATTTATTTTAAATTTTGAGACTGAGAATATCAAGAGACAAATTAGTGTTTTTGTAACCCCAATGTTAGGGGATAGTTAAACGCGACGATTACGTTTTGTAAAAGAGTTATTTAAAGTTATGATATTACATACCTTCATTCCCAATGATAAATTCGATAAAGGAAGTATTCGAAAGTGTCTCAAATATCTTAAAATAATCTCTTAAACAAATTGCTCTTGAATGCTCTATTAAAGAAAAAACGTTTGCTTGAAAATACTGTCGTTCCCGCCTTTCTTCGATAACGAATTTTAAGGGACCAGAAAATTCTCCTTCTTTTGTTTTAGTAATAAATACGTGAAAACTAATTTTCCTATTTTACAAATTTAAACTGTTGTTTTTGTACATTTTTGCGCAAAAGCTGTTCTGAATTGCATTCTTTTTATTAAATTGCGTTTAAATTGAAATGTTTTAATGTGAGAAAAAATAAAACTATTTTGAATATTAAGGTGTTTCAGAATCTTTTCGGGAATTTTAATTATCGTTTTTTACTTCAAATACAGGCATTTTTTGGCAACGGGTTATACTTAATCATAAAATTTTAAGCTATTCAAACTTTAAAACAAACTAATTTTTTTTTATTTCTGAAAAAAATATCAAATACACTCTATAACAAAAAAATCGACGCACATACAAGAAGTTGTCCGATTAAAACGAAAATTGGTGGAGAGGAAGACAATGTACAGAATAGTAAATGATTAAAATTTCAGAACAATTGAATAATTTATTGCAGAGTTACAGAAACAAGTTCAATAAGGTGTTGACCCGCCTCTAGCCTGTGGATACAAGCTGCCACACGGTGTGGCATAGACCGATAAAGCTC